GGTTCAAAAATTTAAAATTACATTATACATGTATCTAGAAGTTTCAACACAATTTCCATCTTTTTCTTTACTTTAGTGGTCGTTAATTTTTTTTTACTTTTGACGAGAAAGATATTTCCAAGAAGAAAAGTGGTAACAATGAGGGATCTGCAGGTCACGGATACGGAACCGAATGCTTTACTTTGACGTCACAATTACCCAACGTAACAATCTGATGAAAGTTTTGAAGTCACAATAAGAAGACGATTGTGTCAACATTAGACAAAAAATCACCATGATCGTCACGATGCATTTGGTTTACTTGTCTGTACAGTATACATACAACTGGGTGTCATCTAAAATCCAAGGTATTTGCATTATCTGGTTGCATTTATCTATATAAAGTACATGTATCTAACAATTGACAAAAATGATCTTCGTGTAGTCTCCTTTCTTTTTATTTGGATCTGTTTGAAATTTGGCCCGCTAGTTCTACATATCCTTGCAATTACTGATGATTATGTCTACTTGAAGATTCAAAATATATATTTTTGTTCCTAAATATTTTTCTTCTCTCATGAAGAACGGAAATCCAGGAAGGAAACTGAAATCAAGAGTACTGAAGTTGACGCTGTTCCTCAGACAAGCGAGGAGCCAACACTGGGAGTCGCTGATAGTGCTGTCAGACCCCAGACCGCACCCTCCCCAGACACTGCTGTCAGACCCCGGGTTGCACCCTTCCCCGACACCTTCTGTGGGTTTCGTCGAGGGTTTTTGTTGTAAAGGATTTTGACTGATGTGCGCATGCTTCGTCCATTCCTCTATTGAACACTGAACCTTTACCCATAAAGAATTATTAACTGTCCGGTGTAAAGACGAATAATGACCCCCGTCGAATAATAACCGGGGTCAAAGTGATTCATTGAAAACTCTTTACAAAGAGATCCATATTGAATAGATTGGATAATATCTTCTACAGTTCACCCATTCAATGAAGAAAAATGATTGAAATTCGAGGAATTCTAATACCAGGGAAGTGCAAAGCAAAATAAAGTTTCTCTGGTCCTATCTAGCATCAGCTCTGAAATGTAGTAAAACAAATGACTACAAAGCAAACTTCATTTCAAATACTCTAGTACTAGAATAATGGTTCCATATGTGGCTTCTTTGAAGTCACTTAGCAGGTCCCAAAAATTTGTCCAAGTGCGGGGCTTTTTTTAAAGTTCCCTAAAGTAATGCAGTTCACTCCAACAAAAACAGATTGAATGTTAGTCCGGAATAAAGGTTGGAGACTTTTGGCAGCAAAATTGAATTTTCCGTCCAGTTCTTAAAATGCTATTTAAGGTCAGACGAGACGTTCCTCAAAATCTGTTTTGTATATCTTCGTAATGTATGAAAAATATTCAAAATTTTAATAACATTCTGATTTCTAAACCAGTTTCTAAACATTTTTTAAAAAATTAAACACTTAAACATTTGAAATTGGAAAATTATTTTTCTTCACCAAAGAATTATATAAGAAAAACTACCCCTGGTATCTTGCAGAAATGCCTGGTAAGGTACCTCAATTTTTTTTGAGTAAACATGTTTAAGTAGCAATACTTCAATGACAAACTCTTAGAAAAATTTATCTATTACTAAGGAACGTCTCATCTGTCCTTAAATAAAAAATGACATGCATTATGATTTCGTTTTTTTTTTCCTTTTGTCTGTTGTTTGATAAATATTTTTCAACTTTTCTTTCTATCAACTTCCATTAATTCTGTAACATTAATCATCTGCATATTGGGATTATGTCTCTCAGTTAATACGCAAGAGCATGCTCTACGTACGAGTTAAAAATTTCGGAAACGAGGCATGCTTTTGACACACAAGTTGATTAAACAGGGATATCAACACCCTTGTTTAAAATTTGTTTTGTAAGTTACAATGATCTTGTCGGCAAATACAATCTACCGTTTAGTTGACTGATGCATGACTGATGTTTGTTATAACTGTTACCGATAGGCCATTATTTACACACTAATTTGTCCTTAAATTTCCCATTTTCCTGGTCAATACAAGGAGCACAAGGCGGATGAGACCGGTTGATATAGCCGCTATGATTTTGGGCACCCTTGTCCACATCTAAATATTGTCCTATTTAACTGTCAGGCATGGTCTTCTGACCTTGGTTAAACGAGAAACGACATTGATCAAGAGGCCAAGGGACCACAGCGCTCACCTGATTTTATGACGCTGCTAAACTTCACATTTATTTATTACCTTAAAAATGTTACCTCATATTATGACCCCACCATATGTCTATAAGAGTCTCAAAATCCGCAGATCATAGCATCAATATGACTAAGATAGCCTTGCATGTATTTGTGGAAATTAATATTCTTTTTCGATACTCAGGCATTTTGAAAAATGCAATTTTTTAAAATTTGATACATGTATAAATATCAATATTAATGAACATTTAACAAACAGCAGCCCATGGTTCATAAAAACAAAAATAAAATTAAAAATAAAATGAAATTGTATTTAAAATCAATTATTCTTTATCTTTCTTTAAAGTTTTAAACAAAAATCTTTTGCACTTTTATGCAAACATTTGATACCCTATTGTTCCTAAGCAACTCTTGGGGGCCATGAATTCCAGAATTTACAATACCCCCAGAAAGCTGTCATGTTTCATTTTCATGGTCCAGTGATTCTTGAAAAAAAAAATTAAAAAGATTTTTTCTGATATTTCAAAGTTTATGTTTTGTTTCTTGTTTTTGCTCATATACATCTATGATTCACACAAAATGTTTATAATCCCCCCCCCCCCCCCTGAAAAATTAGAACTGTCCAAAAGGGACAACCCCCCCCCCCCCCCCCCCCCCCGCTGGATTTTTCAGAGGTGCCAAATTTCACAATATTTTATGGATCTAAGAGAACAGAGAAATGCTAAAACATTTTTAGTGCAAATGTAGTTGCTCATTATATTTTTTTATGAATGAAATCTTTTGAAATTGCAGCCTAACAAAAGAAATAAATGACTTATTCTCTGAAACAGACCAGACACAAATTATGAACTGTTTCTGTCAGTGACCTTGAACTTGCATAAATGACCTTGGTTCAAAGTCAGGACAAAACCTCAGGTCATAAGCAATATTTGTAAAATGGGAACTCACCATGTTTATCCATAAGACAGGTATGGACCAGACATGAATTATGATTTTTTTTTTGTGTCCTTGAACTTGCACAAATGACCTTGGGTCAAAATCATGACACACCCGCAGGTCATAAACAATGTTTTTGTAAAAGAGGAACCCTCCAAGTTTATCTATACGAAAGATATGGACCAGGAAGTAGTAGATTCAAGTTTTTCCATAATAAAGATATGTACCAAACATAGAGTATAATTTTTTTTCTTTCAGTGACCTTGAACTTGCATAGATGACTTGGTTCAAGGTCATGACACACCCTAAGGTCATGAGGAATCTTTGTTTGAAATAGGAACTTACCAAGTTTATCCATAAGAAAGATATGGACCGGACACAAATTATGAACTTTTTCTTCCAGTGACCTTGAACTTCCCCAAATGACCTTGAGTTAAGGTCATGACTCACCCCTTAGGCCGTGAGCAATTTTCATGTGAAGTAGTATATTCTAATGTTCCTCTGTAAGAAAGATATGGACCAGACACATTTGCACAGACAGACAAGCTGATTCCTATATACCCCCCAAACTTCATTTGCAGGGGGTATAAAAAATAAATAAGAAATAAATATTGAAATTAAGTCCTTACTGGTTTTTGTTTGTTGAACTTAAGATCTTTTGAAATTGAGGAAAAAGATAACTTTTGGTCATAAATGATTTATTCTCTGAAATCAGGACAAAACATATAATGTACACATTAATTTTAATATCACAACCAATTGTAACTTTTGCACAAAAATAAAATAAAAATCAAATTAAAGCAAAACTTACTTGGAATGCCTTTATGAGTACAATTTGTAAAAAATTTGGTCATTCTTAACAAAACTAATCACACAAAATGTAAATCACCTAGTTTGTACATGAACTTCACTGGAAAAAATTGTTCCCAAGTTTGCAATTTAATGGAGAATTTTTTTTTCAGTCATCATATTTATAAATCAGGCTTTTCCCAGATCTGTGAATCATTAAACTGCTGTATTTCTAAGGTAAACATGGTGCGTAATATTGGATATGTTTCCATACTCAAGAATGATAAAATATTGGGCAAACCTTGTGAATGGAAAAGAAAACAAATTGTGTAGAATAGTATATATGTATTTACGTAAACAACATGATAAAGAGCAAATGAAAAATTCATGGATATCATTTGTACAAAAGATTTTTGATAGATGTGGTTTATCAAATATATGGTATGAGCACGAACATTATTTTTATAATGTAGAATGGATAACTGCTACAGTCAAACAAAGATTAAAGGATCAATACATTCAAAAGTGGAATAGTGAAGTTCAAGAATCTTCAAAAAGTTTAAATTATAGAATTTTTAAAACCAATTTTCGAGTTGCGAATAATATTTAACACTGTTATCATTTAAATTTAGAAAAACTTTTGTTAAGTTTAGAACCACAAATCACCACCTCCCAATTGAAACAGGTAGATGGAATGGTACTCAAAGAAATGAAAGAGTTTGTAGCTTATGCAGTAGTAACCAGATAGGAGATGAGTATCATTATATATTAGAATGCAGTGCTTTGAACCAACTAAGAAAAGTTTATTTGAACCAAAATTTTTGTTCTAACCCAAATATCATCAAGTTTTGTGAAATCATGTGCCAAAATGATGTTGATTCTTTGAAACAATTATGTACATTTATTTCTAAAATTAATAGTATTGTCTGTTCTCCTTATTAAATTATCACCTTCTGCTTGACCCATTGTATTATATGTATATATGTTTTATACGATTTTGTACCTCATGTACCATTTACATGGTTTTGAGAGAATAAATTGAATTGAATTGAATCATGCAAAAATAATAAATCATTTGAAAAAAAAAAAAGTTAAGTTAATCACGATCAAATCATTATATGAACAATTTATTAATTACATAAGTAAATAATTAAATGAGTGATAAATATACTGTAAATTGGATAGGCAGTACATGTATAAAATTAAATATCCCCCCTTAAAAAAATCCACAGGTTTTTTTTTCCATGGAAGACAATAATAGTGATACATTTAATATAATAGTTGTATAGATGTTATTTGACATTTTTTGATTTAGTACTAATGACTTAACCCAATATGTATAGATGTACATTAGGACCAATAGTATGCCCATTAGCTATTGGGTACAATATTAAGTTGATATGCTAAATGTATTAACAATTGCCTATTGAACATAAATTGATATATACGTTTACAATAAAATATATTTCTTAGTAGATATTGTACTTTTATTCAAAAGTTTTGACAAATACAAAGGTTAATAAAAATTAAGAGAACATTTTTCTTTCCAAAATCTACCTTTTCCAACTACAGCAAGAAAAAAAAAATAATAAAGTGGCAATTTTGTAATAACATAAACATCAATGCAGCACTTCATATGACTAACATGAAAAAATAACATTGCACTTGGTCTTCAAATTTTACATCAAACAACTAGAACAAATAAACACTAGCAAATTTGTTTGGAAATGAAAAAAAAAAAATACATGTAATACAATACTGCTTCTCTTTACAAAGAAATTTATCTTTTCACTCACTGTTAAACACAGTACAGTGTAATTTCACCTTAGTTGAAGCCTGTGAAAAGTGTGAATTCAAAGAATCAAAAAATAATGAAACAGACATGATTGACTACACATAAAATCAGATCTCTATTTTTTTTCTTCCTTTCAAACACTTCCTTTTTGACACATTCAGAGTGTACCAAAAAAAAGGAGTTTACTTCAAAATCTATGAATAATGATCTAATGATCTGAAGAAAAATATTTTCTTCACAAATTAGATGTACATGAACATACATTTAGAAGTAATACTCTGCATCAATAGATAATTTAACTCTTTCGTTGTACAAAAATGCCTTTATGATATTGCAAAAAAAGTTCACCCAATGCACTATATGGGTCTCTACCAAAGAAAAGACATTGTATCTACAAACCAATAGTATATAAATATCTGTTTCTCTTTTCAGCACAGTTTTAAAAAGAACACTGAACATTAGAATCTCAAGAATTTTTACACGAAACAAGTCACCAAAAAACACTTAAAGACAGAAAACAGGTACTGTACTAAAACCCAGTGTCCGAGTAAGATACTGTCATCTTTTGGTAAAATATTGCAAAAAGTTGCAAATAATTTATTCTTTATTAAACATATATCACAAAATGATTAGCATCAATATCCACAATCACTGATTACTCCTCACAACCCTGAACTTGGCCATTTTCTCAGCGTTCTTTCAGCAAGGTTGAGGTACATGAAGAAGATTGTCTGGTTCCCGGCTCTGATACAAAGCATCTGTCATCTTGATTCGGGGTGTAACTAATGACCCCGCTATACGCAGTCCTCCAGTGACATAAGTAGAGGGTTCACATACTCAAATCCATCAAACTCAGACTGCTCTATTTTATCTATCACTTTCCTGTCAGAATAAAACAAAGGGTTAATTGTACACGATTACTGCAATAATTTTATGAAAAATATACACGTGTCTTTTTCCAGTGCAGAAAACAAATTGAGGGTGTTTTGATCCTCTGCATTGCTTGGAGTGAAGTAATAAAATGCAAATTGCAACTATCTGAAGTTTTGTCACAGGTAATGCACACATGAAATATGAGGTGAAAAAAAAGTTAAAAAGCATGGTATACATTCTATAGAGTCATATGATCTTCTCCAATTCTAAATTCATGACTAGGTTTAATTTTTTATACCAGACAGCTAGTTAAAAAGATACATACTTTAAGAATCCTGCACTATTTTACTGAATAGTAGGAAACATTGAACTCACGGATCATCTGGTGTCAGCTGAACTGGTTCATCTGTAAAAGCCGGGTCAAAGTGTTCCAGGTCTCGGTCCGACTTCAGGTTTGGCTTGTAGGGTGGAGTGACTAACTTCTGCTCCAGCACGTCCCACTGAATGGCTCTGAAGAAGGGGTGGGACTGGATGTCATTGAAGCCCGTTTCGTGGTGGCATCCAAGTCGCTCTGTTGGGTTCTGTTTTATATTATAAAAAAGTTAGATAGAAGATTACATCAATGCATATCAGATTTGGATGTCATTACACTGCGGACCATCTCAAATAACCCTAGGTTTAGTAAATGTAGAATTAATGGACCATCTAAAGGAAAAAAATGTTTAACAAACCCCTCTAAGATACCTTGTTCAGGAAGCCTTTGAGGATGGATGCTGCTTTCACAGAGAGTGAGCGGGGTATTCTGATAGTTTTTTCCAGGATAACTAAAAGAAACAACAGCATTTTTATGATCTTAAAACTGAAAAGAAAAATTTTTTAACTATCAATATTCTTTCAGATCAGCACTGATGACTGAAGTCAACAAGATTTAGTCTTACTCTGGAATAGGTAATCCTCAGAGTTTTGGTCCGGGTTTTCGGCACCTCCCACCACATCAAACGGTGACCTCCCGGCCAACATCTCAAACATCAGTACCCCTAATGCCCACCAATCCACACTGAAATCTGCAGCAAGGCAAGTAATACAACATTCAAGTATAAATCACAGTTTTACTGAATAAACTTTTAAAAATTTAATTCATATCAACTGTCCTTTTACATAAAACGTATGATTTTTTATTGTTGTTTATTTTTATGAAAAATATTAAAGTTTAATTTGAATAGGTTTTAATGTAAAAGCATAAGAACTTGAACATAAATTGGGGAAATGCAGATATCAGTACTCTGTATACAAAAAATGTTGGGAGGGATCATTCTGAATTGACTAGCGTACACATCAAATTGATCATTATGAATGGTGTAAGCATGATGTTGAAAACATAACTATGTAAATGTATGTGAGCATGGGAGTGTATGTTTATCAAATACAGTCAAACCATGTTACCTTGAACTTCTAGGACCAAGAAAACTTTGATTTATCTGAGGAATTGGAATATCAAGGTTAAAAAACATTATGACCATATTTAAAATAAAATATTCTTTACTTTCTGAAATCTTGGATGAGAATCTAATATTTTTTTTATTATGGTCTAAAAAAGTATCAGAGATTTCCAATTCCCTTTGACACAATCACTGTATTTTAGTAAGATAGGTTTAAGATACAATGGTTTAACTGTATTGTACATACTGTTTCTGATCTACACATTCTACTTTTGAGGTGCTAATCCAACAAAATGCATCAAAATGCATAACTATTCTCTCTATTTTTTTTTTAATAAAAGATCATGTCATCAAAAATTGTCTAAATTTTTTATTTACTGTAAACATTTTTTTCCTTTGTCAAAACAAATATAAATCAAAATATGATTCATCAATGCATGAAACAAGGTTCTTTCAACCATGTTTCAACAAAATCTCTAAAAGAATACAACTCAAACAAACAAATAACACATCCATGCATACCCCCAACACCAGTACCACTTCACGTTTGTCAAACAGTTAAATATACATGCCTCTTATTAATCAATTAGTAATTCTTTTGAAGTGTTTTTAGAAATCAATTTCATGGAACAACGGCAATTATGCTATGGATTCCAACCCATTAATTCAATAGGGCTATGATGCAATTAAAAAAATAGATTTTTGGGATTTTTTTCATTAAAAATATTTTAAAATCATGTATGAATTTCATCTGCTGAAGATTAATTTGAAAGACCTGTGGCATTATAAAGATAAAATCATCCAAATATATAAACCATATATATACCTGTACTTTTCCCATTTATACATTTATATGCATACCATGATGCATGCCTCATACTAGTAAGGGGGTATAAAACTCAATGCCGCAAGCAGTGCAAGGATCCAGATCATTTTTCAAGTACTGGTATTGTTAAATTCCTTTTCTTTTATGGAAACAAGTAAAAATACATGTAACTGCTTCTCAAATGGTCATTTATGTGAAATGACGTCTGAATTTGAGGTATAATCTTGTTTGACTTCATGACCAAGCAGATTTTTCAGACTTTGAACTTGAAATATGATCTGGTATAACATGATGACCAAGCCCGGCAGTTTTTTTTTTTCTATACCATAGTCCTCTCCTCTGAGAACCTCTGGTGCGATATAATTGGGAGTTCCACAAAACGTATTGGTTTTGTCTCCACTCCATAGCCCTTCCTGTTAAGGTGAGAAAACTCATTAGAGAAAAGCAAGAAAAAGAAAAAACATCCAGGGGATCCCAAAAGGGGAACAGAATGCTACTAACATGAATACATATGAGAATGAAACTATATTTTCTTTTTCACTGTCTCTTTAGTGATCACATAGTGATCACTCTCCAAAACTTATTTCATTCTAAAGTTTCAAAGTCACATCTTTCTGTGAGTAGCAAATTTCCCTCCCTTGGGGCCCTGGGAGATGTTAAATGTTAGTAAGAAGCTTACCATAATCCTCCCCTCGGAGGATTTCTGGGGCTATATAATTAGGGGTTCCACAAAATGTACTGGTGCTGTCTCCAGCCCACAGGCCCTCCTATGGGAACAGGCAGAAAAAAGCCACATTAATCTCCCCTACCACTATCTCCAGTAGGCAGAGCCCAGGAGTTACCTCCCTTCACTACAAGGGGGAACTAACTCAAGCTCTGACCTACAGGCCTAAGCCAAACACAGAACATACCATAATCATGTCCTTGTAAAATTTCTGGAGCAATATAATTAGGCGTTCCACAAAATGTTGATGTAGTATCACCTGGTCGCAATCCATCCTTTATTTTTATGAAATATACAACATATACAAGTTAAGCATAGCCCCTCCACCTCTGATTTTGCCCCCTTTTTTTATGTATCATGACTCGATTTTAATTTTCATATGTCTAAATAGTAAATATCAATACATATCTTCATCTTGGTATTTCACATTTTCAAAGCTGTTTTCAGGACAAAACTTTATTATACTTTTTGTTGAAATCAAAGAATACAAACAAAACTGTTGAGAATTAATATTCAAGAACATTTTATCCATCTGATTTATTTTTTTTTTTTTTGCACATTTCAGAAACAAATGCATGATTAGAAAAAAAATATTCCACAGGAATGTTCACATCAATGAAGCTCCGCTTTCTACAAGAGGAGAGAACATTTTGCAGACTTAGAATTTTCACCTTTTTAAAAATATATATATTTTTGTTGCTCTACTCTGTTTATTTCCTGCATGCTATTTATTACAGATTATACTTAGGTACATTTTCCTCTGGTATATAATAATTAAGTTATATCAGCTTATTTACCTAGTAACAAAAATTAAACTCTGAACCTTTTGTACAGAGAAACTTTAAGGCTTGTTGCCTGTTGCTTAATTCTTCTCAACACAGATTTTAATTGTTTTTTTCATACGCATTCTACATTTTCCTTCCGAGACCTTACCTTACACATGCCATAATCTGTCAGTTTCACATGACCCTCGTGGTCCAGTAACACATTGTCCAACTTCAGATCTCTGTATACAATACCTAATGAAGCAAGAGAAACATAGTCCTCAAATCAAACTGTGTAAACTTTTACAAAAGTCATACAAGTTTTATATGTAGATTTTTTGTAGTTTTTAGCCATTAAGGCCAGCATTTTTTTATTTTTAGGTTTACGAACATCAAAACACTGAAATAAGTCCAGTAGGAAAAGGAAATAAAAAAAAAAAAATTATATTTTGGATAAATTATCGACTTTTCTACATTAATTTTTGCTTCTTTTTTTTATGCTCTCCTAACAGGCTTCTTGCCACTGGACACATAAGGGTTACAAAGGGGAAAATACAACCTTTAACTGTTTATTTCATCATATACCAGCTGGGGGCAGTGATATAAATCTTTTGATGTTGGACAAAATACAGATTTTTTTAAAAAATCAATTTTTTAAATCTCTTTTAATATATCTTCATTTTTGTTTTTAACGTGTGTTAGGTAGAAATTATTCTAAAATATTAATATACTCCAGACCTATAAAAGTAATAATTCCTTTCATAAAATAGACTGTGAGTATTCCCAAGGAGTATTGAGGAGTAGGGAGGAATTTTTTTTCAATTAAGTGTAAAATAATTTTCCTGGCTGCAAACGATACTACATGCATGTATATATTTGTATATTCTTGTTTTTAAATAGTTGAAATATTTTATTTCTTTAGGCTATTGTTTATTTCTTCCTCAAATGGACTTAACTTCTCCCATATATTTGTTTTTATTCATTACATCTGATATATAACCTCTTTCTGAAGAATGATGCTAAGACTGTAAGCTATGACAGAAACCTAAACAATGTCTCTGACAATAGCTACCATGGGCAGTTTTAAACCTGTGGGAGGAAAATAATTTACAATTACAGACAGTTACCATTGAATACGGATACATAATTATCTCACCAATATGTCACTTTGCAACAAAGTCGTCAGCATATTATTGTCCTCTGATCAGGTAAACGTTTTTAATGTCACTCCTTTTAAATATTTACATTAAACCAAGCTTTAGTGCTGCTATGGACTTGACAAAAATCTCCCCACATTACCCGCCATGTTCATTTAAAACCATGCTTCTCCGTCTGCACCCAATCTATGTCCTGTAACACAGGGAAAGCTTCTGATATATAAAAATTCTACAGACAACAATTTCTAAAACATTTCAGCATCTGCAACTTTTGAAAAAAGTCTCTGTTTTTCTCAATTTTATTTTTTTTCTATAAAAACAAAAAAAAGTTGCAGTTGGCGGGTTTGTAAACCTAAAAATAAAAAAATGCTGGCCTAATCAGAGATATATAACTTCTTTAAAATTTTTAAGGAAATTAAATATAGTTACCATGGCAACACTGTTCATCGAAATAAATTTTAAAAAAAAATAAAGACAATAATGTATCTTAGTGTAGTCTATCTGCATGACAAATTATATCATAATCAAACTAAAAATATATTTGTGATAGCATTTTTAAATCATTTCACAGAAATTTCTATTTTTAGTAACCACGGCAACACCGTTCATCGAAATCAAAATCCGATGCATAGAATTATGTATCTTAGTATAGTCTACTTGTGTGTCAAGTAATATTGAAAGTAGACCAAAACTGTAGGAGGAGTAGCATTTTGAAAGCATTTTACAGAAATTTCTATATTTAGTAACCACGGCGACACCGTTCATCAAAATCAAAAACTGATATACAGAATTATGTATCTTAGGATAGTCTACTTGTGTGTCAAGTTATATTGAAATCCGACCAAAACTGTAGAAGTAGCATTTTGAAAGCATTTCACAGAAATTTCTATTTTTAGTAACCATGGCAACACCGTTCTTCAAAATCAAAAACGGATGCACAATTTTATAAACCTTAGTATAGTCTACTTGTGTGCCAAGTTATATTGAAATCGGACCAAAACTGTAGGAGGAGTAGCATTTTGAAAAATTGTTTATAGACAGACAGACAACGGACATCGCATTACTATCGCATAAGCTCTTCTGGTCTCTGACCAGTAGAGCTAAAAAAAAAAAAAAACAGCTCTCAACCCAGCTGAAATTTCCTTCATTATTCTCTAAGAAATCATCTTAATGAACTTACTGAAACTGATGTATATATCTTATCACCTCAATTTAACATTCATATCATTTTCAAAGAAAAAGTCACACTTTATTTATTTCTTTCAATATCTGAACTTCTAATCCCTTCAGTGAGTTCCATTTATTGTTTTTTGTACCTCATCCTCGTTGACGAGTTCCTTCTTGATGACCTTCATTGCGTAGACACGTTTTGTACGTTTCTGTTCCACCATCAGGACTTTTGCGTAACTTCCACGACCAATAACTCTCAGAAGTTCAAACTGATCTAGGGTCACCTGCTGCGAGTCTGTTCCATTAGTTGTCTGTAATAAATGGAATGTGCTAAGTATTATTATGCTTCCTGTCAGTTTGTCTCTATATAACCCATACCCTACTATTCTCGCATAGTGGTCTAAGGATTTATATAGCGTAAGCATACTATGCCGAAATAGTGCACGGCCTGATTTTCTGAATAAAATTCTGCCATGTACACACCGGGAATCGAACTCACGACCATGGGGTTGCCAGTCCGATGCCCTATCGATTATCACTGAATGGTAGAGTTTTATTAAATATATAAACTTAATTTATACAATTGACACAAGAAGGAGAAAATAGACAAATATTATTTGAAAACAGTTATATTTATTCTAAGGTATCTTAGATAAATGTGTACAACAAAGTTTCAAACAAATTACATACAGATCGTTAGATGAATTGATATCATGGCGTCATTAAAACGCTTTTTTATATAGCGCTTGATTGAAGGATGTAAAAGAAAATTATCAATGAGAATTCACGTCTGTAAACAAATCAGTCTTACTAACAAAACGGAAAATAAAGATGAGTATCTTTGGAAACTTATTTAGAGAAAATACTAGTAACCAAAATAACTAAACATGCAACTAATTTTAGCATGTAGATTTTGAATGAGTTTTTGCAAGTGCGCTGTGTTACCACCATTATTTTCAGGAAAAAATCAAATGGATTGCCGCATAAATAATAACAACAGTCAGCATAATAATAACAATAGTGTTGCATTATGCATGTACTATGCCTAAATAGAGGCAGGGTTTGACACATTTCGCCTCCGGCTCGTGCACCTTGTGTCAAACCCTGCCTACTATTTAGGCATAGTACATGCATAATGCAACACTATTATATAAATATCATACATCTACCTGAGGATTACTAATGGAATTAGATTCCCTCTGCTTATTTATTTTAACAAAATATCTAAGTATGAGTAAGGCTAAGCAATGTTTTGGAATTGACAATATACAGTTGAACTTTGTTATCTCAAATATTGATATTTCCAATACCATGGATATGTTGAAGGGATATCGAAATCCCAGCCACTTATTATTTAAGTGTTAAACCCTAGATATCTTGAACTCTTGGATATCTCGACGTTTTTTTCTCCTCAGGTCCAACCAGGTTTGAGATAACAAGGTTTGATTGCATTAAACAATTCATAAATATTTACAAGGTTCCCAAGACTGTCCTTTGGACTAAGAATGTAGGACAAAAAAAAATTGTCCTTTCTAATCTTTGATTTCTAAGGCATCAGAATAACACTTAGATATCCTTATATGAAATTCTTCCTTACAAGCATATGGAAATATAAGCTATAAATTCCTTTATGTAAATTTGTTACAAGCGGCTTAGATAGAGCAATGCAATAACTGGATTATATGATAAACATTTCAATATTGAGCTCTTTTTCACATGCATAGCCTATATTATATCACATAGTGAGTCGGATAGGTAAAGCGTGTGTTATAAACATGGTGTCATAAGAACAACAAAGGATTGATTGATTTTGTGTTGTTTTCCATCTCAAGAATTTTTCACACATATGGAGATATCAAACAATAAAGGAAAATGGCTGGTTATCTCCATCTCATGCAAAAATGTCTGTTCACAGAATTAGAGACTCTGCTTTAATAAACACATTTTACTGTTGTACTGTTTACATAATATACCGTAACAAATGATTTCATAACCTATGCATTTTAATATGTGTATCGGGTAACATGAATGGCAACAGATGACGTGCAGATCCAGAAAAATGAAGCATACACATACATATATTGATGAACAAATCTGATCATTTAGCAGCCCCACATGTGTACACATTCTACACTGAAAAAGCTATAAACAGTGTACTTCGGACAACAATAAATACAAAAACTAAACAATAAATGTCCCCTACACAACCTCTGATACATATGTTACTTCATCTGAGTAATTATCCTACTTTTTCTAACCTACTCCTTTGAAAACAGACATTTTGTTCAAAGCATTCTGATGTAAATGATGAGAAACTTTCCATAACTTTTTAACAATCTAATAATTGATAATTTAATCCTATAATTTTTTTTCTCCTGTCTTGCTCTAGAGTGCACATCTGAAAAGGGAATGATCAACAGCACAAAGCCTTGTAATTTTTTTAGAACAGGATTTTGATCTTTTCCCCTCCATATTTTCTTTTGTAAATTTGAACTCCATTATGGTCATAAAAAACTTAAATGGTTATATTCTTCATTTTTCCTTGTCCATGTGGACTTGGGGAAAAGAGTGAATTTTCTATATGGAAGGTTCCATGTACACATGTAAGCTTCTATGAACTGCGACTCTTTGACTGATAAATGAACACATGTATATCCAAATGACCTATTTCCTCTATTCTTAATCATCTCTCTTTGAAGAAGGACATGGCACTCCATTTTTTATGCAGACTTAAATCAATCAGTCTGAAGCTTTATAACAAATCTTATTGATATTGATGAATAACAAATATAATTCTGGAGCAGAAAATTTCATGCATATGTTGTGAAGCAGCTTGGTGATCCTCTTAGTGACTCAGATATAAAAGTAGCTTCCAGCAAATCATCTTAAAACAAAACGATAAAAACAAAATATTTTTCTGGATCTGAGGTGATGTGACATAATAATGAGATCTCACTGCTGCATCAGACAGCAAAATTACCTGTACTGCAGGCTGGGCCTGGATATTGAAAACAATAAAATACACAATTATATTCCCTCACTTACACTTGCTATTTAATGGTATTGTTAAAAAAATATCATCAATTTAACATAAATTAAATCTTTTGTTTCTATCCTGTACAAACTAGAACTGTCCAATCGGGACAAAATACCCCCCGCTGGGTTTTTCAGAAGTAAGTTTTTGTATAATAAACATATGTATCAAACACGAATTATAAAATTTTTCTTCCAGTGACCTTGAACTTCCCCACATGACCTTGGGTCAAGGTCATGACACACCCTTGGGTCATGGGTAATCTTTGTATGAAATGAAAACCTACCAAGTTTATCCTTAAGAAAGATATGGACCGGACACGAATTATTAAATTTTTCTACCAGTGACCTTGAACTTCCCCAAATGACCTTGGGTCAAGGTCATGACACACCCTTGGGTCATGGGCAATCTTTATGTGAAATGAAAACCTACCAAGTTTATCCATAAGAAAGATATATACCGGACACGAATTATGAAATTTTTCTTCCAGTGACCTTGAACTTCCCCAAATGACCTTGGGTCAAGGTCATGACACACCCTTGGGTCATGGGCAATCTTTGTGTGAAATGAGAACCTACCAAGCTTATCCATAAAAGATATGTGTCAAACATGAATTTTGAAATTTTTCTCCCAGTGACCTTGAACTTCCCCAAATGACCTTGGGTCAAGGTCATGACACACCCTTGGGTCATGGGCAATCTTTGTGTGAAATGAGAACCTACCAAGTTTATCCATAAGAAAGATATGGACCGGACACGAATTATGAAATTTTTCTTCCAGTGACCTTGAACTTCCCCAAATGACCTTGGGTCAAGGTCATGACACACCCTTAGGTTATGAGCAATCTTAATGTGGAGTAGTAGATTCTAATGTCCCTCTGTAAGAAAGATATGGACCGGACACGATTGCACAGACAGACGGACAGACGGACAGACAGACAGACGGACAAGGTGATTCCTATCTACCCCCCCAAACTTCGTTTGCGGGGGGTATAATTACCAATATAAATCCATGAATACATAATGGATCCCCTCAAAGGTTTAAATTACATTTACTTAATCGTGAATAACAATTTTCTGTATAAAGAAACACTGAAAATTCTTAAACTCTAAACTTAATATCTTTATAACTATATTCGCAGAAGTTTTGACTTTCCAGATTATTAGACAGATGTGAAATCTGACAACAGAAATACAATGATAAAGACAGTGTAAGCCATGCAACAGTGATTTGTTTCCCCTTTTTTACATGGATAGATCATATATTAGTTTTGTCACAATGACCCTACAATAAAAACAACTGGTTTGTACATCGACTCATGGAAAACCTATATGTGATTGAATAGCCAGGTACTGAAAATTTTAATGTAAAGCGTAATTTGGCATCTTTTTTTTCATTTTTCTTTGTTAGGTTTAAAAGAGAATGTCCATGTAGAAAAATAAACTTATTTCATATCTTCTTAAAAGTGCCCAATTCTAAAATAAGCTTTAGGAGTTTGAGCTTTCCAAAATGTAAACTAAGACATTATAGATTGGGCTATGCATCCTTGAAGTTCTAACTGTACTGATGAGAAAAATTCAAAATAGCATTCATGCCAGCATAAGCAACATTGCACTATAAAAAAGTTTTCATATATGTAAATTTACATGGTGTATTTCCTGTTGGCCACCATATTGAAGGTCTACATGCTCAGATTCCATCATTATTTAACCAATATAGTCAGACCAGTCATTTTCATTTCTGGCAAATAAGGTTTAGAAAACTTGTTTTTCTAAAGAATATATGTTTATCTAAGCCCCCTGTAATTAATTATTTTTATATTGTAAAGATTTTTTTCCCTATTACTGTCAAATGAGTTTAAATTTGATTCATCCCAGAGAGAGAAAAAAATTGCAATGTTGACCTCCAACATAGGGGCAAAGGAGATTAACTCTGAAAATACGTCTGACATCCAAAAACTATCTACCAGGTGCAAGTATACACAACAAAGATTCCACACAAACAAGCTAACTTCAGGTATATCATTCAAAAGTCCAATATAGTAAAGTCTTTTCTTTTCCACCTTTTTTTCTATTTATCTCCTTTTCCTACAATAACTTAATGGCAAGCCAATTTCACACCACAATATGACACAAGACAGAAATATGCAGTCTATCTATATTGCTCAAATCTCCCGAGATATTTGTTACTTTTATCAGACAACATACATGTCCAAGGGAGATAATAAATGTTCTCTTTACCTCTGTATCAACTTCGCTCTCTTCTGTCAGCTGTTACAACAATAAACTCTTAATTTACCAGAATTGAAGACATTTTCTAATAAATCCAGGAAAAACAATACCGGTATTCAAATTACATAAATATATATCTTTGCGGGCCCTAATTTGTAATGGTCCTAGAAATTTGCCCCTTTCGTTTTCCTCGAGTATTTCACAAAATTCTGCCTGCTGTTGTGCCAATCATTGTTCAAAAAAAATTTCGGATTGCTTTTGTCAACTTTTACAACTGCAGATGATTATAAGATCAAAATAGGTTTTTAAAAAAAGTCATAAATAAAAGTTCACCTCACATAGCACAAATTCTCTATTACTGCATACATTTTCAAGGTCTAATAAACATATTTTTTTCTTCTGATCAATCTCAAGTGTAAGGTATAAATTCATGGTTATTTCACATAAAGATCCTTTGGATAAGCAAAATATTAACAGCTTTGTAAAATCCTGATACTCTTTTTTGACAAAAAAATTACCTCCTTTCCTCCGATTTCTATTGAAGTTCCATTCTCTGAAACTGCAAGCAAAACATAAATAAAATAAAATAGAACAAATTCTATATCAAATTTCCAGTTCCATCCATTTGATGAACTTGTAAATACAGGTAAATAATGTTTCCACATTTGTATATTTTTAAAAAAGACTTTAAAAAGACAAAGAATTGACTTTGGAACTGTGTATGCCTTATTACCATAGTCTGCACACTTCTGATCTGAACTGACTTACGTGTTGGGTGTCCATTAGGCTCTTTCATTGACAGGTTTTGAAGGTCCGGTAAATTCCGTTTGACATCCTCTCTTGGTTCAGGTTTAGCTCCAGTCTATGTTTTAAAGGATATGAATTCTTTTTTAAAAATATGAAAAAAATTAACATAACCATAAATCTTTCACACTATAAAAGACAACCAATGTGACAACCAATTGGAGAGGACTTATATAGGCCATGCATGATGTCCAATCCAATTATGTAATCTTACTTACATAATAAAATATTGATTTAAAAAAGAAAAACCAAAAAACAAAAAAAAACCAATGTGACATCTTTGAAATACAAGCACCTGTTTTCTCTATATCTGGTTTAGAACAGTGACTTACAATAACTGGGGCTCCACACACAACCTTCAGGTATTTATGACATCTCTTGTGGACAGCTATTTTACACTGAATGCACTTAAACCCTTGACGTCCCAATCCCCAGATTCTGTCAGAGCAAAAGGAGCAGAAGGCTTTCTGGAAAACAAGACACAGATATGGCAGAGAAAATTAGATTTATTTCACCAGAAGTCTCTGATGAGATTGTAGCTCACTGATTTATGCTTGAAACACTTAGGTGGGGGGGGGGGGGTATTTAGAGCTAAAAATATACTATAAAAATTGTTCATAAATAAACAAATTAGATTACTTCAAAATATTTTTCTTTTAAAATCATCTTTTTTTTAAATTTAATACCTTGGAGAAACGTTTTGCTTGGAATAGATGTCCATTAATTCTGTACAATTTCCTCCATCTTCTTGCACCTTTTCTGTACATATTTCCTATGGTAAAAAAAGGTTAAATTAATAATATTTGATTTTTGGAAAGGTTTCAAAATGATGATTCATAATTTAAAATTGTTTCCATCTTCAAATAAGAAACTTACTGTCTTCTCCTCTGCATGGCATCCCTGGTCTTTCAGGTATGTTAGGAAAGACTGAAAAAGTACAATGAAAGTGGAAAACAAGAGATGTTTGTAAAACACTTATGCCCCCCTCCCCCCAAATTGGATTTTTTCCAAGTCCAAGGGGCAAAACTCTGTCAAAAATGGCACGATTGTATGCAAAACAGAATTTGACCTAGATATTCATCTGATAAATCTGTACACTAAATTTCATCTCAGCATGTGCAACGGTTGTGAAGAAAATGAATGGAAACTGCAAATAATTGGAAGTTTTGTAAGTCGAAGGGGCATAACTCTGTCAAAAATGGTGCAATCATACCCAAAACAAACCTTGACCTAGATATTTATCTGATATATCTGTATACAAAATTTCATTTCAGTATGTGCAACAGTTGCAAAGAAAATGAACGGAAACTGCAAATAATTGGAATTTTTCGAAGTCCAAGGGGCATAACTCTGTGAAAAACGGTGCGATCGTACCCAAAACAAAACTTGACCTAGATGTTCATCTGATAAATCTGTATACTAAATTTCATCTCAGTATGTGCAACGGTTGCAAAGAAAATGAACGGAAACTGCAAATAATAGGAATTTTTCGAAGTCCAAGGGGTATAACTCTGTCAAAAATGGTGCGATCGTACCCAAACCAAAACTTGACCTAGATATTCATGTGATATATCTGTATACTAAATTTCATCTCAGTATGTGCAACAGTTGTGAAGAAAATGAACGGAAACTGCAAATCATTGGAATTTTTCTTAAGTCCAAGGGGCATAACTCTGTCAAAAATGGTGCGAATGTTCCCAAACCAGAACCTGACCTAGATATTCATGTGATATATCTGTATACTAAATTTCGTCTAAGAATATGCAACGGTTGTAAAGAAAATGAATGGAAACTGCAAATAATTGGAATTTTTCTAAGTCCAAGGGGCATAACTCTGTCAAAAATGGCGCGATAGTACCCGAAACAGAACTTGACCTAGATATTTATGTGATATATCTGTATACCAAATTTCATTCCAGTTTGTGCAACGGTTGCAAAGAAAATGAACGGAAACTAAGTGGACCGACAGACCGACGGACCGACAGACAGCAGCAAAGCAATATGCCCTCCCTTCTTCGAAGGGGGGCATAATTAAAAAAGAATGTGTTAAGAATGGTTTAACAATGTACCTAAAATCATCCTTAAGTAAGTGATATCAGAGAGTGAGATCCAACCTACCATGGAGGGTGAGTTCTGAGTCTTTGTTCAGATCATACAGACGAATGGCCTCATTCAGCTCTACCTGGGAGGATATGGTGCAGGGGTCACCTGTAAAATAAAGGTACACAGGTATAAAACAGACTGTAAAATAAAAGTACACAGGTATAGAACAGACTGTAAAATAAAGGTACACAGGTATAGAACAGACAGTATAATAAAGGTACACAGGTATAGAACAGACTGTAAAATAAAGGTATATATGTATGGAAGACTGTAAAATTAAGGTATACAGGTATAGAACAGACTGTAAAAAAAGGTAAATAATATTTACTCTATAGTATATATGATTTTATGTACATAAGAGGCTGTAAAATATGTGTAGAAAATAAGATTTGTAAAATAAGATTGTAAAATAAAAGTAGACAGGTATAGAACAGACAGTAAAATAAAGGTACACAGGTATAGAACAGACAGTAAAATAAAGGTAAACAGGTATAGAACAGACAGTAAAATAAAGGTACACAGGTATAGAACAGAATTAAGGTATACAGGTATAGAAAAGACTGTAAAATAAATGTAGACAGGTATAGAACAGACTGTAAAATAAAGGTAGACAGGTATAGAACAGACTGTAAAATAAAGGTACACAGGTATAGAACAGGCTGTAAAATAAAGGTATACATGTATGGAAGACTGTAAAATTAAGGTATACAGGTATAGAACAGACTGTAAAATAAAAGTAGACAGGTATAGAACAGACTGTAAAATAAAGGTACACAGGTATAGAACAGACTGTAAAATAAAAGTAGAGAGGTATAGAACAGACAGTAAAATAAAGGTATACAGGTATAGAACAGACTGTAAAATAAAGGTAAACAGGTATAGAACAGACTGTAAAATAAAGGTACACAAGTATAGAACAGACTGTAAAATAAAAGATACACAGGTACAGAACAGACAGTAAAATAAAGGTACACCGGTATAGAACAGACTGTAAAATAAAAGTAGAGAGGTATAGAACAGACTGTAAAATAAAGGTACACAGGTATAGAACAGACTGTAAAATAAAGGTACACAGGTATAGAACAGACTGTAAAATAAAAGTCCACAGGTATAGAACAGACTGTAAAATAAAAGTACACAGGTATAGAACAGACAGTATAATAAAGGTACACAGGTATAGAACAGACTGTAAAATAAAAGATACACAGGTATAGAACAGACAGTAAAATAAAGGTACACAGGTATAGAACAGACTATCCGAAGCAAGTCTAGTAGTGTCCATCGCTAGATGCATCTTCGTCGAGGTGAGCTAAAAATCTTTTCAGATATTTATAAAAACAAACATACTGTTATGTTATTGATTTTTTTGTTTTGTCTAAATGTCTCACCTTCTTCGTCCAGCCACTTGACAGTAAATGGCTGCTGATCATCAAATTTACATATGTCTTTTATCTCCAGACAGAAATCTGCATAGGCGATGTCTGGTCCGATGCTTGTGATGAGAATGTCCCTGTAAAATATGTATCATTTTCTTTATCTTGGAGAGAAAAATAAGATTGTTAGTCTGTATAAAGCCTCAGTTACTTAACCTTTCAATCTTTGAAAAAACATTCCTAGCATAGCCTTAATCTCTCTGAACATTGTCATATCAAATCAAAATTATACACCAACTTTTGAAAACAAAACATACGGCCATGAAATGAAAATAAATGTGTCAACAAATCTCCTTGTATCTAAAATTGCATTTTAAACACACTCAATTATGACTCAACCCCGGTTCTCTGAATTGCACTATCCAAAATATACATTACATAAGGAATCAACATTCAATATTAATTATAAAACTCATTGAAATGATGGAATCCTTTTCAATCAAGTTTTTTTCCTTTTATAACTTTTATTTCAAACATTGCATATAACTATAATATTTCAAATCACTGGGCATATTCAGAATAAAGATAAAGATAAAGATATGATCCCCTAAGATTACTAATATATATAAGATGACAACTAGTAGATTTAAAGTATTATTCCTTTAAAAAATCAATTTCTATATTGAAAAGTAAGCTTTAACACCTACCCATTATATCCAACTTTCATGCGCACTGCATCATGATCCTCATTCTCCTGTATAGGCATCCTGGCAAGATGTCTGAAAAATAAAGGTGAAATTATTATGTCTGCAGGCTAAAAGAACAATATTGATTTTTTATTACTTCAGAGTTCTTATGAGAGCCGTTAAATGAAATGTTCCTTAAAACATGTTATATTATATACATGATATAGAGACTGCAGAATGCATAATTGATAGTACTAAACTGCTGACTCCATGTCTTAAGCTGCCAAAAAAGAGGGGGAAGATATTGAAAGAGAGAGAGAGAAAGGAGGAGAGAGAGAGGTTGTCTTTCGATAGTATTGCTAAGAGGATTTTTGTTTTTGTTTGTTTTTTTTAACAAAGATTCAATATTAGACTATTAGTTAACAAAATTTTGGCTTTAAAATTCCTTTTAAAAGTTAAAAATATAATTGTCTTCAATATAAAGTTTAACTTCGTGGCAATGACATAAAAGAAATTTCAATATTTGATTTAGCTCTGAAGCATAAACATGTTTAAAGTTTAAACTAATGGAAAGAAAAATTTTACCTGGGGTAACTTTTTTTTACATTATTTATCTAGAAAATCTGAAGATATTCCGAATGCTTTTATTAGTAAAATATGCAAAATGAACAATTTAGATATTTCTCATACTATATAAGAATAGTTTTAAATGTCTTATCCAACATGCACTGGGATTAGCATTTTTAACATACTTAGAATTGTTCATTTACATTGAATGCAACAACATGAATATGTATATTAATATGGTACATGTACAAACAAATCAACAAGAGGCCCATGAACCACGGGAGCTCACCTGAGCACCTTGGCTTAAGTAAAGAGATGTCAGTGGCCCTTTTCACAAAAAATCTTACGATCAAGATGAAAATTATATTTCTGTAGTTTTTTGTTAAATAAAAATATCTATTAAATTATTTCTTTAATATTGTACTAAGTAATTTAAAGAAATAGAAAAAGATTTTTTGATGTCCTACTACAGCTTAGATACTTGTTGAAGAATGGGAAAAATTTTATTTGAATTGCAAGATTTTTTTGTTCTTTGTTGAAAAGTTTTAATCTGCAAGTAGAACCAACCTACCCTGAGAGATGAAAAAAAAATTCTCTACTGATTGATGATGCTTAACATTTTGTTGACTTATCATAAAAATAGAAAATACTTTTAGATTTTTCTTATATATTTCTTTGAAAATTTTTTATCTTCTATTGTGGTCCTGCCTTAGTCCTTACTCAGTTCATGATTTGAATTAATACTACCATAAACATGATAAAATTATGATGTTTTAATATAAGCAAGACTACCCACAATAGGCTTTGCTATTCTTGAGAAGAAATAAAATATTTTTCCTATATACAGCAAAACTCGGTTATAACGAAGTCGCTGGGACCAATGAAATTACTTCGCTATATTCGAAATTCGTTATAAACCTACAAGTAATTCATCAAATTTATATAGCTGGGGATCCAACATGACTTCGCTATATCCGCGAATTTGCAATATCTGTGTTCGTATTAAACGAGTTTTACTGTATATACCTATGTAAACATTTGATTTTCTATTTGTAGCAAATGACACATATGTTTTGATAAGCCCAATTTAAATTAAAACTGAATAAGTATTTGTGCTTGCCCTTATGTTTGCACCTTCACATAATTATTACTCTAACTACAGAAATGTATAGTCCCCATGTGGTACAGTGGTTAGAGTGTCTGTTCTAGAGTCGCTAAATAAGGAGTTGATCTTATGTTGCAGGTTCGAATCCACCGTGGGACCTGGAGACCAGCCCTTTCGATGAGACCAAGGTCCCATGTTGCAGAAGGTGCTGGCACGAAAAAGATACATCACTGCTCAATGGCTGTAAGTGCCAAGTATATAACAAAATTTGCAGATCTCCACCTGTGAGTGGTGGCGTCTCCATATGAGTGAAAAATTCTAGAGAGATGTTAAACAACATAACAAACAGAAATGTATAATACTTGCTGAGGCTACTCAAGCGGAAACTAGCTACATTCACAGCGAGCACAGCAAGCTCAATAGACTAACGTGTAAGAACAGAGGAAATTCGGAATGAAATCTGTATATACGTCAGGCAAATTTCTCTGTGAAACATTCCCAGAATTCTTTTACTACCCAATGTCCTTTGCGCGAATAAATAAATAAATAAATAAATAATAACGTAAAGCATAAAAGGCTTTCAGTTTGTAGAAATCTTTCAAAGAAACAAAAAATAACTCTGCAATGTTTTTGGACCAAAATCGCACTAGTACTAGGTCTATAGTTTCAAACAGACGCTCGGCTGTCTTCCACTTTATATCAAAAGCTCCATGAATCGTGTGACGTCACAGCTAGTGTCCCCGGCAAAGGCTTGATGTATGAAGTGGCTGATCAATTTTTAAAGTGTTAATGATATGGTATAACTGTGCTCGCCCCAACGGTCACACCGTAAAACATATTAGTGAATTAAGCTTATTCTAATGAACAATACAGAGCAACTATATTCTTTGTAAAAAGAATGATAGATATTCCATACCACACCCTGTCTCTACATTTACATATTACCAAGCTAATTGCAATTTGAACATATTCCAATGCGAGTTTTTAAATCTTCTTTTATAAATAAATACACCTTTCTTTGTTTAAATGCAATAAAATGAATAAATATTTATTGAAATATACAATAGCTCTTGAAGAATGTCAAGTATCAAGTCTTGTCAAAGAACACCTTTATGATGCCCTTCTACTGATCCCTTCCCCTTCAGTTCTCTTAAATGAATATCTTAATGATTACATATAGTGTTTAAAATAACTGAAACACTTAAATAAGTAACTAATATAAACACATACTTAAGTTTGATATTATATGGGTCAAGTTTTGAGCGGTCTAATCACCCTGCAATCCTCACTGCTTACTCAGTTCCTCCATGTTTACAACTTGAACCGGAAGTCACGTGATTACAAGCATCATTATAAACTTTTATTTTTTAATGCCTAAAAACGTATTTTCCCTATTTTAAAGTAATTTTAACACTTAAAACTATAATTTCTTTATGTAAAGTATGTAATCAAATGTTATTTTATGAAGTTAATTCCATTATATGGCGTTAAATTGGGTACATGGAAAAAGAATTTTAATTTATAGCGGGAAATTTTTGTCATGAAACTGACGAAACACTGTACTTCATTGGATAATGCAAAGTATGTAGCATTCTAACCTCCTCTCCGGAAGTTTGCGGAGATCTTAAATTGATTTCTTCCTGAACTTTAACTTGTCCGGCTTTAACAGGAATCAACATGGTTTGTTTTCTTTAATATTTATCTAAAAATATTTATATGATTTTTCAAGTTTGTTGACAGTGTTATTTTTGCAATAATACTAATAAAGTGTTCTCAATAATATTATCAAAAGGTTGACGATAGAGACACAAAACGCCCTTTTTCTTTGATAAAGAAAGCAAAATAGGAAGTTGTGGGATTTTTTAGATGAAAAATATCTATATTTTGGCAATTTTTGTAATGATCAATGTTTAATTTTGCTTAAAGAATTGGTATTCATATAAAACTGAAGTATGTTCAACCAGTTCTTTTATTTATTTCCTGTATTGGTCATCATGTATGCCCATATTTGGTCATGTGAATAGCAATTTCCAAAAATTACTGATAATGTGTAATTTTTGCAAGAATAAACTTTTTATTGTTTATTTATGCATTTTGTAGTCCGAACAACAGCTGGATTGTGCATTAGATTTGATGAGGAGACTTCCACCTCAACAGATAGAAAAGAACCTGACAGATTTGATTGACCTAGTAAGAGATTGACTTACAATAATATGTATTATTATACCTCTATTGATAAAACTCGAATTTGATTGGCTGGAAAGAAAACTTTAAAACACAACAATGACTCCAAATGGTACTGTTTACAGCAATAATGACCTTAGCCTGGTCCCCTGGCTCATCCTTGCCAAGGCAGGAGAGCCAGGTGGATTACATTCTATGCTTTCCTTTGATTGGTCAAAACAATGCGCGCTAAATCGTGTGTTTTTGAGCCGTTGCTGTTAACCACGGAAATAAATATCGACGTAACAATGACACATTACGTCGACGACGTAGAAAAATACGACGTCACAATGAATGTCTTAACAGGAAGCGCATCCATATTGGACGTCACAATGGGCTGAGATTCAGGGCAGATTTGCCCTGAATCCATTGTACTCCACCTGGCCCTAGTGACGCGGAGTATACGACGCAAAACAGGGACAGGGAGCGAGGCTATAATGACCTAGGAATCAAAGCACGTGGGATATAATGACCCAGTCATTATAATTAATGACCGCTAAATAATGACCTCTAAATCAAAAATTCCTTTTTGAGTGAAGTTAATCCATAAAATAATAATTATTCAAGAAAAACAACACGTTTTTAAAATTGTGCATGATCTGTTTTGCATTACCATACAGAATATGGTAAAATTTTATCGTTAACTTAAACGGTTTACTCATCAATGGAATGAAGAAGTGGCTCTTTAATCAGTTGATTTCTGTGTTAGATTTTGACTGTGTAGAGGAAAAGTAATCGCCAGTTATAATAATGTATGTCGCTATCAACCAAATATTGTTTTAATCGGTAAATCATAATGCAAAAACTTACACGACTTGCAGACGTCAATGTAAACAACTTCACTATACGGAGTGTTAGCGAATCCCGATCCCGATTTGATCGGTTTAGAGATTCATACTTTTCAATATATATTGGTATAATAAAACAATTGATTACCCCTTTTGAGTTCAACATGGTGAAATAAGGACCCTTGACCTGGCCAAGTTGATGACCTGCCCTGACCTTGGCCGCTATGCGGCCTCGGTCAGGGCACTTTGCAGCAGGTCTGAGGAAATTTGCAAAACCCTTTATTTTTCATATGTAATGGTTTGGGCTGCAGATATCGACCTTGGTTGCTCAGTCGATAGAGCACCTGACTAGAGTTTCAGGGATTCTTGGTTCGATTCCCAGTCCAGCCATGCATTTTTAGGCTTGGCT